ACTGACTCAAATGTGAATCTCCTTTGGCAGCACCCTCACAGACACACCCAGGATCAATACTTTGCATCCTTCAATTCAATCAAACTGACCCTCAGTATTTTTTTTCTTTTTTCTTTATGATTCAGTCTCCGTAGAGACTGCCAAAAATTGCCAATGCCGACTATATTTCAAGTCATCATAGTGGGGTATTGGGAAAAGTTTTCAGTTAGCAATAATCGTGCCTCGGCTAAACCTCATTGGCTACGATACTGCCACTATGCAAAGCTACATTCAGTATTAACCATCACGATCTGCATGGTGAAAGATGGGCCATAGACCCAAACACGTTTCAGCTTGTAAGAAGGGGAGAGACTAGATGTCCAGGGTGAGTAATTAAAAACAAACAAAATAACAAGTGAGGCAAAGTTGCACCCTTCACTTCCACTCATAGTCCATTAGTTATAGGTTAGTTACAAGGTCATATCTACCTGTAAACTGACCAGGAAATGAATGGCCATTTGCCTAGCTTAACCTCTATTCCTATGAAAGAAGAGATGAATGGATTTAAGGAGACAATTGGGGGTGTTTGTCATGAGAGGTCTTATAATAAATAACCATCACTCAGGAGATCTAAACTCAACTGGAATTACTACACCCAAACCACTAAGTTCTGCCAATTAATTGCCAGAAAAAGTTTTCTTCATGGATTCTCCCAGGTATTTCTGAAACTGTTACAGGTTGGTATTCTATATGTATTCAAGAACAGGTCCCTCCTCAATATAGCAAGATATACCCAAATTACAGATGTCCATATCCTTTGACTCAGCAAGTCTACCTGTAGGAATTTCTCCAATAGATATGTTTACCCACATGGGAAATTAAATACACATTGTTCATAAAAGGATAATATTAAAAAATATATAATATCCCAGTCTGGGTGCAGTGGCTTACACGTGCAATACCATCACTTTGGGAGGCCAAGGCGGGTGGCTCACTTGGGCAACATGGCAAAACTCCAAAAATCCATCACTATAAACCTGTATAGCATGTTACTGTACTGATTACTGTAGTCAGTTGTAACACAATGGTATTCGTGCATCTAAACAGAAAAAATGCAGTGAAAATATGGTATAAAATATTCAAAATTGTACACCTGCATTGGGCAACTATGATCAGAGCTTGCAGGACTAGAAATTGCTCTGGGTGAGTCAGTGTGTGAATGGTGAGGAAATATGAAGGCCTAGGACATTACTGTACTTTACTGTAGCTTTATAAATACTGTACATTTAGGCTACACTAAATTTATAAACACAGCCCTGCGTGGTGGTATGTGCCTGTAGTCCCAGCTACTTGGGAGGCCAAGGAGGGAGAATCATTTGAGTCCAGGAGTTTGAGACCAGCCTCAACAACATAGTGAGACCCCTAGAAAAATTTAAAAATTGCCCAGGTGTGGTGGTGTGTGCCTGTAGTCCTAGCTACATGGGACGCTGAGGTAGAAGGATCACTTGAGCCCAGGAGTTTGAGGCAGCAGTGAGCTGCCAGTCTGAGTGACAGAGCAACACCCTTCTAAAATAAATAAATAAAATTTAAAAATGAAGTGTTTTTAAATAGAAAAAAATGTTTTGTCTTTATATCTTTATTCTATAAGCTTTTTTCTTAATTTTTATTTTGGGTTCTGAGGTACATTAAGGTTTGTTACATAGGTGAGCTTGTGTCATGGGGGGTTTGTTTTACTTTTTATTTTTTATTTTTTTTTCAAAAAATAAAACTAAGACACAAACACACACATTGCCTAGGCCTACACAGGATCAGCATCATCATTACCTCCACATCTTGTCCCACTGGAAGGTCTTCAGGGTTAATAACATGAATGGAGCTGTCATCTTCTTATGATACCAATGTCTTCTTCTGGAATATCTCCTGAAGGATTAGCCTGAGGCTGATTTACAGTTAACTTTTTTTTTTTTTTTTTTTCCTCTAAGATGGAGTCTCCCTCTGTCTCCCAGACTGGAGTGCAGTGGTGCACCTTGGCTCACTGCAACCTCTGTTTCCTGAGTTCAAGCAATTCTCCTGCCTCAGCTTCCTGAGTAGCAGGGACTTAAGGCACCTACCACCATACCTGGCTAATTTTTTTTTGTTTTGTTTTGTTTTGTTTGAGATGCAGTCTCACTATGGCTCACTGCAACCTCTGCCTCCCCGGTTCAAGCAATTCTCCTGCCTTAGCCTCCCGAGTAGCTGGGACTCCAGGCACGCGCCACCATGCCCAGCTAATTTTTGTATTTTTAGTAGAGATGAGATTTCACCATGTTAGCCAGGCTGGTCTCAAACTCCTGACCTTAAGTGATCCACCCACCTCGGCTTCACAAAGTGCTGGGATTACAGGCGTGAACCACTGTGCCTAGGCTTTCCTTCTTTTCTTTTTCTTTCTTTTTGAGACAGGATCTTGCTCTGTCACCCAAGCTGGAGTGCAGTGGTGCAATCATTGATCACTGCAGCCTCAATCTCCCAGGCTCAAGAGATCCTCCCACCTCAGCCTTCTGAGTAACTGTGACTACAGGCATGCACCACCACGCATGGCTAATTTTTGCATTTTTTATAGAGACAGGGTTTCTGCCATATTTCCCAGACTGTTCTCGAACTCGTGGCTTCAAATGATCCTCCTGCCTCAGCCTCCCAAAGTGTTGAGATTACAGGCATGAGCTGCTGTACCTGACTTTTTTTTTAATTAATAAGCATGAGTACACACTAAAATAACAATTAAAAAGCATAGTATAATCGGCTGGGTGTGGTGGCTCACACCTGAAATCCTAGCACTTTGGGAGACTGAAGGAGGGCCAATCACTGAGGAGGGAGTCAAGACCAGCCTGGACAACATGGTGAAACCCCATCTCTATCAAAAATACAAAAATTAGCCAGGCATGGTGGTGCGTGCCTGTAATCCCAGCTGCTTGGGAGGCTGAGGCAGGAGAACTGCTTGAACCCAGGAGGCAGAGGTTTCAGTGAGCTGAAATCGCACCACTGTACTCCAGCCTGGGGGACAGAGTGAGACTATACATAATTGTACAGTACATAATATTACTTTTTATACAGCTGGTGGCACAGTAGGTTGTTTACATCAGCATCACCACGAACACGAGTGGTGCTTTGTGCTATGACATTAAGATGGCCACAACCTCACTAGACAATAGAAACTTTTCAGCTCCCTTAAAATATGGTTGAGGCTATATATAGCCTCCCAGGCTCAAGAGATTCTCCCACCTCAGCCTTCTGAGTAGCTGTGACTACAGGCACACACCACCATGCCTGGCTAATTTTTGTATTTTTTATAGAGGCAGAGTTTCCGCCAAGTGCACTTTGGGAGGCTGAGGTGGGAGGATTGCTTGAGACCACGAGTTTGAGATCAGCCTGGGAAACATGGGGAAAACCTGGTATCTATAAAAAATATCCCAACCTTAAAGTACAGGCCAAACTGGCCCTAGCCCTCAGAGAAAGGAGGAAGTTTTGCCTTACTCCATTCTATGAGGTGGCTCCCCAGACCTCATTTATAGCCACAGGATGGAACTCTAGCCAGGATGATTCACTGTAGTAATAACCATTCCCTTCAGAACTTATTTCCTAAATGACTGCCGGAGTATTTTTTGGCCTTATGGTCCTCAAAAGACAATTGCAATAATCTGATATAAATATATTTCCGATGTCTGGCCAGTCAGCTTTTAGATATCAAATTAAACTCAAATTAAGATATGTAATCTGGGGAATCAATTGCTGGCCCAGGGGCAAATGTGCCAAAATAAGTCTAGTTTCTCCTATGGTTGGTCTCTCCCCATTAACAGCTCAAAATCCTGGGGTCCAGTCTTTCCCAACGTCAACTTATTACATGAAGAAAAAACAACAACCAGATATTAGACACAATATTAGAGGAAGGAGAAACGTAATGGTACCAGGAGACTGGGATGAGATCATGATAGCTATTGAGCACTATATATAGCTCTCTGAGCTCACTGCTGCAAGAAAGAATGATTATGGATTGTGTAACTGTCCTTGTTTGGTGAGAGGATATTTGTCCATAGATACAAATATGTAATTGAAAGAGACATTCATCACAGATTCTTATATAAAGGATATTGAACAAGAGCATAAACAGTGTCTTCAATGGTAATGTAGCAAAAACCTCAAGGTAAAACACAGCAGTGCCTGGGGGTGGCTAATTCCAGAACTCGATGGGGAGCTGGGTAACAAGAAAGAAAGAGGAGAAATGTTTTGGAGAGGTGTCCACACGGAGGGTAGTGAGGACAGCCAATGGCTTTCATAGAGATTGTCATCTGGCCCGGGCTAGCAGATTTGAATAGCCGTGTGCTCTGTTGCTATGTGGAGAGTTAGTGGACACTCTGTGTTGCCTCCAGCTTCCATTTTAACAGAATCTTGATTTTTTTCAGCTATCCATTTCTCCCTCATGCAGCCATGAGTATCAAGGGAAGAAGACTCCATGCCCAGCTCCAAGAGCCAGGCCTGACTGATTGGTCCAAAGGAAATCTTATCCCCTTGCCCAGATTAGTCCAAGAATATGCATACGACCCAATTCTGACCAATGAGTATGTAAGAAGATTCCAAGAAAAGTTTCTTTGTTTCAAAAAAAGCCACAAGAGATGTTCTCTCTTCTTCCTCCAGATCTTATGCCTTGATTTTGTATGATGGAATTACAGGCGCCCACTACCATGCCTGACTAATTTTTGTATTTTTAGTAGGGATGGGGTTTCACCATGTAGCCCGGCTGATCTCAAACTCCTAAGTTCAGATGATTCACCCACCTAGGCCTCCCAAAGTGCTGAGATTATACGGGTGAACCACTGTGCCTGGCAAGAAGGTATTTTAACTAACCCCCATGGAAGTTTTATCTACTCCCATGGAACTTGTAGTGGAGGAGGGCTAGACATTAAACAATTGATTTCACAAATAATTATTTAATCATAATAGTATAAAGTACTAAAAGCATACGGTGCATAAAAGAGGATCTGATCTTGTCTGTGAGTGGCATGTTCCCTTCTCAGTCACCATTCTCACTGGTCTTTTAAATTTCAACTGTGTTTCTTATAAGAAGGTATTTACACTTAAGTCTGAGTTTTGCTTCTTGACAAGAACTTCTGACATCTATTTGGTGACCACAGATAGGCTTTAACTATAAGACAAGGGCCAGGGGCAGTGGCCCACATTTGTAATCCCAGCTCTTTGAGAGGCCAAGGTGGGACAATCACTTGAGGCCAGGAGTTCAATACCAGTCTGGCCAACACAGTGAGATCCCATCTGAAAAAGAAAGAGAGGGAGAGAAAAAGAAAAAACTGTAAGACCAACAGGCACTAGAGAGAGAGGGAGAAAAAGAGAGAAACAGAAAAAAATGTATAAGACCAATAGATAATAAAGCTGACGAGCTTCTGTGAAAATTGTGGAGCCTGAATTGCATTCCCTCTTGGATGGGAGGAGTCCAACCTGTGGTTTGCCTAGAATGAGAAAATCTCACTTCACTAACCAGCAATGCCAAAGAAATCCTGAGAAATGAGACAACTAGAAGAGCTGGGGGTGGGGTTTGGGAATCATTCACAGTGGTGCAATCAAGTATTGGATACATTAAAAACAAGTGTTATATTAGTTATCAATTGGTTGACTTCTGAGGACAAGATAGCAAAATTAAAGTCCTTTCCCTTACTTTACTCAGACATCAGCCCATTGCCAACAAGGAGACTTACAAACAAAAACACAAACTCCATCTTTGGGAACACAAGGAGAAATCTGAAATAGAGAAAGCAGGTGGAGAAATCGTCTCAAGAAATTGGAGGAAGGCAAAGCTGCTACAGCAGATTTGCCTGATACCTCATACGTATATTCTCAGCCCATCTGAGACTTTAGGCACAGCTGAAACTCACCTGTGCTGATAGTGTCGTGCCTCATACATGCAATCCGAATCTTTTCTCTCTTTGCCTTGGAGCTTCTTCAATATTATGAAAGCTGCTTGGCTCATGTGTAAGAGAAAAGGCACTTGGGAGATGGGGCTCCCCAAATTAATGCCAGTGGGGGGCAGTCCTCAACCAAAGGGGGCCCACAGAAAGAGAGGATGAATGCTTCAGTGTCCAGTGCCTTGGGCAGACAATTCAGAGAGGCATACTCTTCCCTTTTCAGCCCCCAACTGCCTCAGTGATGACCTTAGTAATGTAACTTTCCATTGGCTTTTCCTTCTTCCTTTGATTAGCTTTTCTCTACTTCTTCACTCTTGCTTCCTGGGGTCATCCCTCAAATAAACTACCTCCACTCAGGTTCTTATTTTAGACTTTACTTTCAGGGAAAATCAAACGAGTGCAGAGGGTACTTGCAAAGGAGACACTGACAAGAAGCAAGTCAATATCCCTGCAGCACCCTAGAAAGGCTCAGGAATTAGAGGCACCAGACGCCTTGGAAAGCAAGAGTGAAGTTTCCAGGGAAAAAGCCAGCCCTCTGCCTTAGCAAGGTACAAAGAAACCCTCTAGGCAACATACACAGATTGCAATCCTGCCCATACACAGATTGCAATCGGCCTTCCAGTGCCATACTCTTCTCTTCCTCTAGAACATAAATTTTTCAAAACAGTCTGAAACCCATGGAAAAGTTGTAAGATTAGTATAAAGAATTTTCTTCCCTCTGTTTAATACCAAGTCACTGACATGATAACCCATCACCACTGAGTACTTCAGTGTGTATTTCCTAAACACAAGAACATAGCCACAATAAAGCCATCAAAATCAGGAAACTGATATCAACACATTACAACCATCCAGTCTTCAGACCCCATGCAAATTTCACCAGTTATCCCAAGTAGGTCTTTTTTCAGCAAAGAAGCCAGTTCAGCATTACACGTTGCATTTGGTTGTCATGTCTCTTTATTCTCCTTTTTAATCTGACACAGTTTACTTCAGTCTTTTCTTGACATTCATAACCTTGAAGATTGCAGTTCTAGTTATTTTGTAGAATGTCTGTCAATTTAGGTTTGTCTGATGTTTTCTCAATGATTAGATTCAGGTTACACATCACAGGAATGATATTATGCTCTTATTGTGTCTTACCGGGGGTATGTTGTTTTCATTTGTCCCGTTACTAATGATGTGCACTTTGATCATTTGACGAAGGTGGTGTTTTCCAGCTCTCTCCACCGAAAACCTTCTCTCTTTCCCTTTGTAATAAGCATTTTGTGGGCAGAATTTGTTGTTTTTGTTTTTGCTCCTCTCTAATTAGAAGAAATGTGGATAGATGTTTTGAAACCATGCAAATATACTGTATCAAACTTTAACTTATTTAATCTATATAAGTATGTGTTCATAGTCCTGTTTCATTCAGTGGTATAAGTCTGGATTCTCCACAGAAACAAAATCTATAAGACATATATATACAAATGTATGTTAAAAATATATAATAATGTATATAACATTAAAATATATAACATATAAAAATAGCAAACCTAGGCTGGGCATGGTGGCTCACGCCTGTAATCCTAGCACTTTGGGAGGCTGAGGTGGGTGGATCACCTGTCAGGAGTTTGAGACCAGCCTAGTTAACATGGTAAAACCCCATTTCTACTAAAAATACAAAAAATTAGCTGGACATGGTGGTGTGTGCCTATAATCCCAACTCCTTGTGAAGCTGAGTCAGGAGAATCACTTGAACCTGGGAGGTGGAGGTTGTAGTGAGCTGAGATCATGCCATTGCACTACAGCTTGGGCAACAAGAGTGAACCTCCGTCTCAAAAAAAAAAAAAAAAACTATATACATATAATAATCATAATATATATGATTTGTTTTCATTTTATTTTTTGAGACAGGGTCTCACTCTGTTATGCAGGCTGAAGTACAGTGGGGCTGTCTCGGCTCATTGCGACCTCCACTTTCTGGGCTCATGTGATCCTCCCACCTCAGCCTTCTGAGTAGCTGGGACTACAGGTGCACACCACCACACAGGCTAATTTGTGTTTTTTCTTTTTTTTTTGAGATGGAGTGTCACTCTGTCACCCAGGCTGGCGTGCAGTGGCACAATCTTGGCTCACTGCAACCTCCACCTCCCGGGTTCAAGCAATTCTCATGCCTCAGGCTCCTGAGTAGCTAGGATTACAGGCACCTGCCATCATGCCCAGCTAATTTTTGTGTTTTTAGTAGAGATGAGGTTTCACCATGTTGGCTAGGCTGGTCTTGAACTCCTGACCTCAAGTGATTTGTCCGCCTCAGCCTCCCAAAATTCTGGGATTAGAAGCGGGAGCCACCACATCTGACCATGTATTAGTTATTATAAAGAATTTTCTCACATAGTGTCGGAGGCTGAGAAGTCCCAAGATATGCAGTTGGCAAGCTGACGAGCCAGGAGAGCTGGAGGTGTAAGTTCTAACCCAAGTCTGAGTCTGAAGGCAGGAGGAGACTGATGTCCCAACCCAAAGAGCGTAGGACAGAGAATAAATTCTCTCTTACTGAGCTTTTTGTTCTGTTCAGGTGTTCAACAAATTGGATGAGGTACACCCACACTGGGGAAAGACAATCTGTTTTACTCAGCCTACCAATTCAAATGTTAATTTTATCTAGAAACACTCTCATAGACATACCCAGAATAATGTTAACCAAATATCTGGGTACCCTATAGCCCAGTCAAGTTGACACATAAAATTAATCAGCATGGGTGGGTTATACTTCATTATTATCCTTAGTAACTTTGATATGCAAATCATTCTGGATTTAGCCAGTGAACATCTCTGCAAGCTGTCCTCTATGTCCTTTTGACATGTCCGCATCAATTTTTCAGCATTTTTTTACATTCTGGCACAAAAAGGTGTTAAACCAGACTCATCTTGCATTTTCTGTAATTGAGGCCCTGAATCAGCCATATCTCCAAGGTACCCTGGCTCCTTTTAGTGAAGGATGTTTTTATTATTTTTATTTATTTATTTATTTATTCTGAGATGGGGTCTGACTGTGTCACCCAGGCTAGAGTGCAGGGGTGTGATCTTGGCTCACTGCAACCTCTGCCTCCCAGGCTCAAGTGATTCTTCCACCTCGGCTTCTCATGTAGCTAGGACTACAAGCATGAGCCACCATGCCCAGCTAATTTGTGTGCGTGTGTGTGTGTGTGTGTATATATTTGTAGAGATGGCGTTTTGCCATTTTACCCAGGCTAGTCTTGAACTCCTGGGCTTGAGTGATCCATGCCCCTCAACCTCTCAAAATGCTGGGATTACACGCATGAACCATTGCGCCTGGCTGAAGAATGGTTTTTAAAAATCAAGAACTGAGTGCTAGGTGTGTTCATTGTGTTTCAAATATCACTGTTTCTGGACTCTAAGAATGGGCAAAGCTAGGAAATATATCTACATATGTCCATGTGGAGTGTGTGTGTTGTGTGTATATATATTTTCATATATAGATATTTATATGTATATTTCTTTTTTTTAGTACACTTGGAAGACGGCCAAGCAGGCGACTTGAGAGATTGAAGTGCATATATGTATATTTATTTCTAAATCTATCTATATACATTGAAGAAAATGTTTCCACCAATATTCAATTTTTAACCCAACTCCAGAAGGTTCATCCTCATTATCTTCCTTTCCATATTTTTATCTCCATTCTCTTGATAGCAAGAAATCTTATGGATGCGTAGGATATTTTTTAATTGAAGAAAGGAAGTTACAAAATTGCATGCACATTATGAGGTCATCCTTTTCTTAAAGTTAATACATGCATTGAAAAATTATTTTCCCCCCTATCGAGGGGAGTGGGGTTTTGGGGACTTTGCAATTCTTGTATTACATCTATATTTATAATATTTTAAAATTTTTGGCCAAGAGCAGTGGTTACTTTTTTTTTTGTAACAGGGTCTCTCTTTGTCTCCCAGGCTAGAGTGCAGTGGAATGAACAATCAGGGTTCACTACAGCCTTAACCTCCTGGGCTCAAGCGATCCTCTTGCCTCAGCCCCCTAAGTAGTTGGGACTGCAGGTGTTCACTACCATGCCTGGCTAATTTTTTGCAGTTTTAGTAGAGATGAGATTTTGCCATATTGGCCAAGCTGGTCCTAAACTCCTGGATTCAAGCAATCCACCCGCCTCAGCCTCTCAAAGTACTGGGATTACAGGCATTATCCACTGAGCCCACATGGGCAGTTACTTTTTAACGGGATGTTGGTAGCTCTTTTCCTGTTGCCCTACAATTGACACTAAAGCCCATGGCCAAAAAACCCAAAAACAAAATATCTCATGTTCTAAAGAGAACAGTTTACATTTAAAGTGTAGAACCCTCCAACCCTTGAACCTTCCCTGGGCTTACAAACAGGATGCACAATTTGTTCTGCTGCCATCAGTCACCACCCCTCCACCGTCGGGCCCCACCTTCTGAATTATATTAAAATATAGAAAATGGAAGGCAGGGGAGACTTCTTGAAGGTAGTTGGACTTGGGGAGACTGCAGTGTTTGTTCATGGTGAGTGGGTGTTTTCTTCTCTACCTGAAGCCTTGTATGGCGAAATGAGGGAGGGGGCTCCAAAGGAATTGCTATTACTAGTATTATTATTGTTTTATTTTTTAAGAGGCAGGATTTCTCTCTGTTGTCCAGGCTGAAGCACAGTGTTGTGATCATAATAACCTCAAGCTCCTGGTCTCTGGCAATGCTCCCACCTGTCTCTCCAGTGAGTAGCGCTATAGGCATACGCCACAATGCTTGGCCGATTCTTTCTTTATTTTGTACAGACAGGGTCTCACTATGTTGTCCAGGCTGGTATTGAACTCCTGGCCTCAAGCAATCCTCCTGTCTCAGCCTCCCAGAGCACCTGGATTACATGTGTGACCTACCACAATGGTCCCCAGAGGAAGCATTTATAGGGATCAGAGTTGCCTGCAAGATGAGACTGCAAAGCTATTTCCCATGTGGACATGTGCTTAGGTAGTAGATTACTGAACTATCTGTAGGGTTTAACTGAGCAAGAGAGCAGAAAATTTGAGGGAGATGGCCCTTTCCTTCTTCCCCACCCCCATATACTAGAGGTACTAGAAATAGTTCCTTTTCTTTAAGGCAGGAAAGAAGGTGTTAGAGTCTGATGTGGGCCAATCAGAGTACTGCTTTCATCTGCCTGGGTTCTACACAAATTAAGAAACCAGAGAGAATGTCTGTTACCATCTAACCAGATAGATAGATGGTGACAAAAACTCACCTTTTTAGGTAATAAAGGTTAAATTGAGGCATATAGTTCACAGGGGAGCCAAATAAGTGAGCTAATGAACCCCTGAATTAGGCAGACTCACCATCCAGTGAGGACCCCAGGAGCCTCCAGACATGGGGCACTCCCCAGATGAGACTTAAAGCAGAAGAGAACTCCTTCTTCCTGCAGGTAGGCTCTAGCCTAAGAACACAAAAGAAAATAAATTTATTTTTTATTATTATAATTTTTTGAGACACAGTCTCACTCTGTTGCCCAGTCTGGAGTACAGTGGCACAGTCTTTGCTCACTGTAGCCTCCACCTCCCAGGTTCAAGCAATTCTCGTGCCTCAGCCTCCTGAGTGGCTGGGATTACAGGCACGCGCCACCATGCCTGGCTAATTTTTGTATTTTTAGTAGAGATGGGGTTTCACCGTGTTGTCCAGACTGGTCTCAAACTCCTGGCTTCAAGTGATCTGCCTGCCTCAGCCTTCCAAAGTGCTGGGATTACAGATGTGAGCCACTGTGCTGGGCTAGTAAAGAAATTTTAAAGGAGGCACCAAATCAACTATGCCCAGCCTACTCTCACATGTATGAATCAAGTAAGTCACTCTACTTTTCATGGACAGGGTAAATTAATGGAGAGTGTCACAATAATTGAGCTCTCTTATTTGAAAGGAAACATTGATGATGAGGGAGAAGCCTTCCCCCTATTAAGGAGAGGGATAGCTTATTGCTAGATTTTATTCCTTTACTTCTTTTCTAAGCAATCAGGGTGAAACCTAAGCCTGGGATGAGGAGTAGGTGTATGTGATGAGGATCAGATTTATACTGAATTTAAGTTTAAACTCCAAATGGATTATCAATGTAAGTGTAAGAGTTGCAACTAAAAAGCGCTTGGAAAAGAACACAGGTGTAAAGTTTTAAGACTTTGGGTTAGGGCAAGGTGAGGCGGTTCACACGTATAATTCGGGCACCTTGGGAGGCTGAGGCAGGTGGATCACATGAGGTCAGTAGTTTGAGACCAGCCTGGCCTGGTGAAACCCCATCTCTACTAAATATACAAAAATTAGCTGGGCATGGTGGCACATGCCTGTAATCCCAGCTACTCAGGAGGCTGAGGCAGGAGAATTGCTTGAACCTGGGAGGCAGAGGTTGCGGTAAGACAAGATTGCACCACCGCATTCCAGCCTAAGTGACAGAGCAAGACTCCATCTCATAAAACAAAAAAAGACTTTGGGTTAGACAAAGCCTCCTTGGATACTTTAAAAAGCATGAGGCTGGGCACAGTGGCTCATGCCTGTAATCCCAGGTCGAGGCAGGCAGATCACTTGAGGCCAGGAGTTCAAGACTAGTCTGGCCAACATGGTGAAACCCCGTCTCTACTAAAAATACAAAAATTAACCTGGCATGATGATGCACACCTGTAGTCCCAATTATTCAGGAGGCTGAGGCACGGGAACTGCTTGAACTGGGAGGTGGAGGTTGCAGTGAGCTGAGATCGCACCCCTGCACTCTAGCCTGGATGACAGAGTGAGAGGCTGTCTCAAAATAAATAAATAAAAAGCATGAGTGAAAGAAAAAATAGACTGGAGTTTATCAAAACTTAAAACTTTTGTGCTTCAAAGGCTATCATCAGGGATGTGAAAAGACAACCCACAGAATGAGAAGTAGTATTTGCAAGTCATATATCTAATAAGGGACTTATACCCAGAATATATAAAGAACTCTCATAAATCAGTAATTAAAAGACAACCTGATTTAAAAATGAGCTACAAATAGACATTTCCCCAACGAAGATATGCAAATGTCCAGTAAACACACAAACAGATGCTCAACATCTTTAGCCATTAGAGAAATGCAAATCAAAACCACAATGAGATTTCACTTCATACCCCCCCAGGATGGTTATAATGAAAAAGACTATAAGTGTTGACAAGGATGTACAGAAACTCCCATACACTGCTGGTGCGAATGTAAACTGCTGCTGCTGCTTTGGAAAATAGTTTGGCAGTTAACAATTAAACGTCATGTTTAAACAATTAAACAATATACATACTTATATAACTCGCAATTCCATCCCCTAAAAAATAAAAACATACATTCACACAAAAACTATATACAAATGTTCACAGCAACATTATTCATAAAAGCCAAACTATTGAAACAATCCAAATGTCCACGAACTGATGTGGCATAGGCATACATAAGAATGTTATTTGTCAAAAGGAATAAAGTATGAATACATACTACAACATGAATAAATCTTAAGGCACTATGCTAAATGACTGAAGCCATGTAATGTCTACCCTGGACCTCGTAGCCCAAGATGTGGATGAGATTGAATAGGAAGATGCAGCAGAAACATGGCTTCTGAGAGTAAACTATGGGGGTGAAGCAGGCAGTTTCTGTAAAGAAGGTTTCCCTTAGAAAACATACGGTGGCTGGGCATGGTGGCTCAGACCTGTAATCCCAACACTTCGGGAGGTCAGGGAGGGCAGATCATGAGGTCAAGAATTTGAGACCAGCCTGGCCAATATGGTGAAACCCTGTCTTTACTAAAGATACAAAAATTAGCCAGGCATGGTGGTGCATGCCTGTAGTCCCAGCTAGTTGGGAGACTGAGGCAGGAGAATAGCTTGAACCTGGGAAGCAGAGGTTGTAGTGAGCCAAGATTATTCCACTGCACTCCATCCTTGGTGAAAGAGTGAGATTCTGTCTCAAAAAAAAAAGAAAGTAAAAGAAAACATATACCATGGCCAGGTGTGGTGGCTCATGCCTATAATCCCAGCACTTTGGAAGGCTGAGGTGGGTGGATCACTTGAGGTCACCAGCCTGGCCAACATCATGAACCCCCGTCTCTATCAAAAAAACACAAAAATTAGCCAGGCATGGTGGCAAGCACCTGTAGTCTCAGCTACTCAGGAGGCTGAGGTGGGAAAATTGCTTGAACCCAGGAAGCAGAGGTTACAGTGTGCTGAAATCACGCCACTGCACTCCAAGCTGGGAGATAAAGTGAGACCCTGTCTCAAAGAAAGAAAAAAAAACAAAAATATACCTCAATATGTGTCCCACTGGGGCTCTGGGTAAGAGCTGCCTGTCCCAGGGCCGCATGTTGAGATCTGTGTAGTGTTGACAGCTTTTCCTGGATCTCCATCAAGTTACACATCCCTGACTTTACCAACGTGCATACCCTACTCTTTGCTTCTGGTTACAATTATGCCACCAAGAGATGCACAGTGAGTGACTGGCCGGGAAAAGGGAGCTCTGAGTCTGAAGGAAGCAGGGAAGGTGAGGGTACAGCTCCCTGAGAGCCTGGCCTGGGGACAGTGGGACCAGCCTCAAAGGGGATAGGGAAGATATAGAAGACAGACCCTGGAGTGTAAATGGCTCTCTGCTACATGGCTCGACCTTGCCTCAAAGTCATTTCCATGAAATTACCACCCCAAGGCACTAATAAGTGATCTAGGAGACAGCCAGTATTTTGCGTAATTTCCAGAAAGCCAGTACTAAATGGAGACCAGGATTGATTCCATTGTATTTTCTAAGAATAATAAGGGCATGCGGATAAGTGTGTCATCATAAGAGCAGAGGCTGAGGGACACCTGGTGACCCCCTGTTGAGGAACCAGCCCAAGATATCCTCCAGAGTGGCCCACAGGGAGGAGAGAACTCAACTTTTGGAATTTGTAAAATTCTCCCTCACCTGCCTCAGTTATGGTATCATCTCTCTACTCCCTATCACAGTCAGACTTCTAAAGAGTTGTCTGCATCTGCTGCCTTCACTGTTTCACTTCAATGGTTCTCATCCAAGTCATTAAAGCTGAAGCCAATCCCTTATATCCCTTGCTCCTCTGTGGCATTTAACATTCTTTGGAAATCCTTGTCCTTTGGCTTCTATAACACCATCCTCTCCTGTCTCTTTCTATCTTTCTGATTCCTCTGAGTTCATCTTTTTCACGGAATTCTCACCCACAGTCCATTACTTAAATGCTATGCACCCAGGGTTCTATTCTTGGCACTCTTCCCTTCTTGCTTTGGGTGACCTCATCCATTCCTTTGGCTTTAACCAATCCCTCCAATGCAGACAACTCCCATCTCCATATCTCTTTCCCAAGTTTCCAGCCTTTATCTTGTCCTACCACCTGGAAACACCATGGTCTCCAAGCTCAATATTTACACAATTGAGCTAATCATTTGCTAATCATGAGCTATTTCAAATGTGATCCTGTGATGTTCTTCAGTTCACTTGGTGGCAAGACTTCTAGCCAATCTACTGCCAGTGAAAATTTACCATCTCTGATTAGTTGTCATTCCTAATTCCTACCCCAAATTCCCATCATCATTACTTTGGTTAAGATCTCATCATTTCTCACATGGATTTTGCAACAGTTTGCTAAACCTGCTAGAAGCAGGTTTTCCTGCTTCTCATCTTTCCATCCCTCTAGACCATCTTCCATATTAATCTTTAAGTGATCTATTGAAAACGGAAATCTAAGCTGGGTCAGGCGGCTCACATCTACAAATCCCAAAACTCTGGGAGGCCAAGGTAACAGAATGGCTTGAGCCGAGGAGTTTGAGACCAGCCTGGGCGATGTAGTGAGACCTTGTCTCTACAAAACAGACAACCGCTAGAAAGGTCTGATTTTATCACATGGTTGAAAATCCTCTAATGATTCTCCATTTTCCTCAGGATAAAATCCAAATGCTTGATTCTGAATCCGCTATGAAGTCATGACCCTGGGCCCTTGTTGTGACCAATGGGACCTGATAGAAAGTCTGCAGGCGGGTAGTTGGGAGAGGTTTTCCTCACTACTAAAAAGCAGCGCACAGGAGCAAATGCCTTTCTTCTTTGGAGATGAAATGTCTGCTTGTAATACTTGGAAATGCTTTGATCATCTCTTAACCATGAGAAAAGACACTGCAGATATAATAAGGACAGAAGAGCAGAAAGGCAGAAAATATTTGGATCCTGCTGCTATCCCTAAGCCACTGAATTAGCCAGCCCCAGAATGGCTCACCTCCAGATTTTCTGGAGCATGAGCTATTAACTGTCCTAATTATTTAAGCTGCTTTAGTTGGGTTTCCTGTTACTTGCAGCTGAAAGTACCCTAATTAACACATTTATAGGATGTTTCTCTTTTTTAAAATAGAGAAAATACCAAAGATTTTTTTAAAAATGAAGTCTGGGCCGGGCACGGTCGC